CAAAGTTGTAGTAAGCATTAAACAGAATAAAGTGTGTGTAGTGCCCACCGGAAGTCTTGTGAAATTCAGTTAAATATGCAGACTCACAGGGCGCCTGGGTGGCTCAGTCAGTTAAGCATCTGCCTTCAGCTCAGGTCATGATCCTGGGGTCCTGGGATTGAGCCCCGTGTCAGGCTCAACAGGGAGTCTGCTTCCCCCTCTCCCTTTGCCCCTCCCCCTGCTCGTGCTCTCTCTCACTCTCTATCTCAAATAAATAAATAAAATCTGCAGGCTCACAGTACTACCACAGGCCACATTTCTTGCCAGCTTGCCAGCAGGGCAACATCAAGAGTTCCTCTCAGCAGGGGTCCTGCTGCAGTTGAAGCAAGTGACAGCTCACATACCCGTCGGGGGACTCTTGTCTTCCCATGTGACACAGTTCCAGGTACAAAGCTCAAGATCCATAATCAAGCAGGTGCGGGGGCTACCCTGAGAAGAAGCCTCATGGCCTAAGCAGCCCGTATCTCTCGTAACAATTCTTTGGCATAGTTTCTAGGGTTCCTTGCAAAGGACCGCATTCAGGCAAGTCCCAAGCATGGCACCCTCATCAGATATTTGCAGCTCACTCATACTTCCTTTCAGTCCAGATGCAGTTTACCGGTCAGGGTTCATTTTTACCATAAGCGGTGTTGCCTAGCAATATAATTCTTGCCTACCATCTACCTGGTTTCCAGGGCAACAGAGCTCGTGGTTAAATCAAAGGTAAGATTCTCAAGCAGCAAGGGGAAAGGTTTGTTAACCCTTTCATCCCAGTATGTGACAGACCCAACCAGGGGCCTCACGTGTTATAGTTATCAAAATGTGTTTATTCATTCCTTTAACAAGTATTTAAGAACTTATACTGAGTCAGGCATTGTGCCAGACACTAGGAATATGGTGCTCATCTTTATATTGTTAACTCCCCTCCCCCCCCCGTGATACCCTTAATTCCTTTTATTGTCAGAAGAACTATTTTTCCTTCAAAGGTCAGCTCAGGTATTACTTCTCTGAAATCCGTGTCCACTCTACTCCCTTAGCACTTTGTATTTATTTCCCTGAATTTGTGGGTTGGTTTTGTGAATTCATGAATTCCCTGAAGTAATATGCAGATTTTGTGTGCATGTGGGAATGTATATTTGAAGAAAGGGCAAAAACTTTTGTTAAATTTTCAGGGGGGTCTAACCAGCCCCCTTTGGATTTAGAACCATTACTTTGTTATGAACATTTATTATATTTATTTTATAAGGTTTTATTATTTGCTCATAGGTCTATATCTCCTACTAGAACCCTGAGTACCTTGAGAGGGGGAACTGTGTGTATTAATATTTTGTGTCAAAAGAGTGCCTGTTTCATAGAAGACTTTTAGAAAATGGATATTGAAAGAATCACTTAATATCCTAAACAGGCTCAGCAGCTTGAGTGATGCTATTAGTGAACATTTCCTAATTTGAAAGAGAAAGTTCTTCCTTATGTTAAACCAACATCAGCCTTTCTTCTTCCTAACTTTGTCCTCTGGATTTATAAATTAAATGTCTACTCTCTTCCATATTGTAATTGCCTTTAAAAAAAAAAAAAAAAGATGGACACATTTTAGTATATTTTACTTTTATATTGATGTAAGAACAGTAAGAAAGAGATCTAGAAGATTGACCATTAAACAGTAATAGAGGGAATCACATTATATTCACAAATGCCCCTCCCCTATCCCTGATCAAATAGCCAACCAATCCATGAGTGTACTTGCTGGCAGGGCTCCAGGTGGAATGTTTGAGGGTTCCCTGGGTTTGTTGTTGCTGGTGGATCCAGAATTACTGGGCAGAGGCCTGTGGCGGGTCTTGGCTTTGGGCTGATACTTGAGAAGCTGGGTGAGGTGGTAATGGAGATGCTGCTCAAAGACCTGCTTCCACAGTTCCCGTCCAGAGACTCCAGTGGGAGAAAGTGGTGTGTTCACCTGTCATTTCCTTACTGGTGGTTCTTTTTTTTTTTTTTTTTTAAGTTTTTATTTAAATTTCAGTTAGCTAGCATACAGTGTAATATTAGTTTCAAATGTACAATGTAGTGATTCAACACTTCTCTACAACACCCAGTGCTCATCACAACAATCCCCATCACCTACTTAACCCATCCCCTTACTCCCCTCCCCTCTGATAACCATCAGTTTGTTCTTTGTAGTTAAGAGTCTTTTTATGAGACTTATAGTTGAGGAGATCAAAGAAAAAGGGCTAATATGGGGGAAATCGTTAAAAAAATAATACATTTGCATCTCAAATATTTTAACTTAAAACATGCAAATGTAGATTAATTTACTAATATTTTATTATGGAACCAATATCTTTTTGTTGAACATGACTCCACTGTTGAGAAGCTTTTTTTTATTATCAGGTATTTCATCCAAAATTCATCATCTACAATTTCTAGTTTGTGTTTTCTTAAATGGAATGAGAAGTAACACAGTCTTAAAGCAGTGGAATTGTAGACTTCCTCTAGATTTTTACTCTTCCTCCCTTTTTCCAATGTTCTGTAATTGTATCTCCCATGTCTTACCAGTTAATTTTTTTTTTTTTTTACAACTGGCTTTCATTTTAGTCTGAAATCTTTAGTTTCAGGGGAATGGCAATTCATATTTCCTTTGTTTATACACTATTAAATTATGTAACTGAAATAAGGTATAAGTGGCATAAACAGGTCTGTAATCAAATACAGTTGACTCTTAGCACATGTTTCTGTGCATAGTAACAGAGGTGTGCAAGTATTCAGGCTGCTTTAAGCATTCACACTGCTCATGGGCATTAGGAAGACCATGAACATGTTTTTATTCTCAGTTTTTCTCAGGATTAATTATTTTGAAGTTTCTCATCATCCTGCCCATGTTTCTTCTCCTCTTAGACTACGGATCTCCCTAATTTAGAGTAGAATAGAGGTAAATCATGTTTAGCTTTTCTTCTGATAAAGTCCGAGGTATCTCTCGTTGTCCAGAAAAAAAATGAAACCATTGAAAAAAAAAACTGGTAGCAAATATAAGGGTCTACTTAATTATAAGGCTCTTTTAAGCATAAAAAATAATAATAGAGTGGAGCTCAATTTTTTTCCCCTTGAGTGTGATCTGGGCTTAGTGATTCACTTCCAAGGAATAGAGTATGCAAAGGGAGGGATAGTAGCTTTATTGGTGGAGAAACCTGGTAGATACCACCCTGGCCAAATGTGCAAGTTTAACAGCACCAGTGATAAGTCATATTGATTGAGAGAGTGTACCCTCTGATAAGATGTGCTGAGAAGGTCACTTCACTTCTGTGGTATTCTTTCCCAAACCCATAACCCCAGTCTAATCTTGAGAAAGCATCAGACAAACTTAAATTGAGGGATATTCTGTGAAACACCAGACCACTGCTCTTCAAAAATTTCAAGGTCCTAAAAAATAAGGACAGACTAAGAAAATGTAGCAGACTAAAGGAGACTAGGGAAACATGATGACTAACGGCAGTGTGTTATCTTGAATTGGTTCCTAGATCAAAGGTAAAAAAAGGACATTAATGGAAAAACTAGGGAAATCCAGATAAAGTTTGTAGTTTTGACAAATCTTCCATGGTTATATATGATGTTAACCTTAGAGAAAGCTGGGTGGAGTGTATATGAGGACTGTCTGTACTATTTTTTAACTTTTCTGTAAATTTAAAATTACTCCCAAATAAAAAGTTTATTGAAAAATAATTAATGGGAGAAATCACAGAAGAAAGGGTTAGGTAATTTGAAATTTAAGACAAACCAAATTAAAGGGCAGTAACACTGAAAAGGTATTTGTCACTGATGATGGATAAAGTGCTAATATTCTTAAGATAGAATATACTTTTAAAAATTAGTAAGAACATACTAACACCTCATTGGAAAATAGTCACTGATCACAACTCACAGAAGAAATACGCTGGTCAATAAATATGAAAGCCAGTTCAATCTCACTAGTAATTAAAGAGTTGCCAATTAAAACAGTATATATGGAGAATATTTTCACCCCTTACATGGAAAAGTGATAGTATTCAATTCTGAAGAAGGTAAGTAGAAGAATTAGAGATTCATATAGCCTTTCTGAAAAGCAGTTTGCCAATATGTGTGGGGTTTTAAAATATGGATATCATTTGTGATTGTGGTCTTACTCTTGCAAGATTTTTTTCCCAAGGACATAATCAGGTATGTATACAAATTTTTTAATAGGAAGGTTCATCACAGGGTTGTTGATACCAAAAAACTCAAAACCTGAATATCCACCAGTGAGGGAATGATCTAAAAGTTAACTGGCAAGCCTTGGGGCGCCTGGGTGGCTTGGTCGTTAAGTGTCTGCCTTCAGCTCAGGTCATGATCCCAGGGTTCTGGGATTGAGCCCCGCATAAGGCTCCCTGTTCTGCGGGAAACCTGCTTCTCCCTCTCCCTCTGCCCCTGCATGTGTTCCCTTTCTCGCTGTGTCTCTCTCTGTCAAATAAATAAATAAAATCTTTAAAAAAATAAAAAATAAAAAAGTTAACTGGCAAGCCTAAGGAATAGAATGGAATCATTAAGAATCATAATAGAACTAAATAAACAGTGAAAGCAAGATACAGTTTGTGTATATCTTCTGATCCTGGACTGTGTACATGGGTATAACTATGTTTCTTGAAAGGATTGCGAGGAAATATCCCATCATTTACAAAGTAGTTACCTGTCTTTGGATGGTAAGGAAAGGATGATTTTTATTTCCTTTATACCTTTATACATTTTCAAACTGCCGATCATAAATAAGTATATATTACTTTTGTAATCTGGGGGGAAAATTATCATTGCAGACAATGTAGCTAATGAGTTTCTTTCATTTTCATGCTGATTTAATTAAGAAAATGCTACATTTCCATTTTGTTCTTTAAAAAATCATTTTTCCTATCATCTGCAAAGAGTGAGAGTTTGACTTCTTAATAAAATAAAATTAAAAAAAAAATTGTTTTTCCCTTCTCTACTAGGAAGCTCCTCAGGGTGCTCCCATTGCCGAGTGAGAACTGGGGAGCTCTAGTTGAAGAATGGTGTTGTCATCCTGACCCCTTTGCTGATAAGCCACTTCATCCACAAGAGAATGACTGTTTTATTGGAGACTCTTTCTTCCTGGTAAATTTAAGAAGTGATTTATGGCAGCCAAGACCTGAACTAGCCCCAGTGGAGACACACTGTCCTTCTGAGAACCATTTTAAACTGGTAAAATATCTTTTCAAAATAAATGCTAATTTGGAGGTTGGCTTAGAAACTGGTTTTTCCTATCTTCTCTTAATTAAAGCATGCTACACAGACTGTTCCAAGGACCAAAATCCGTGATTTTCAACTGCCTCTATTCACCAGCTCTGCTCTGCTCTGTTGATAGAGGAAGAGCATATGGCTTTAGACCAGAACAGCTTAAGGGGCTGCAGAAAGAAGACTTTTTCATGCATAGAATTGGGAATGTTGCCATTTTACAAACCAAAATGTCCTACTTTCTTGTTTTTAGGACAACATACCATAATCTATATAGTCTGATTTAAATTAAAAGTGTTCTTTTATTCCAAGGTAAGTACTATACAGTTAGGCCTAGGTATTTCCCCGTGTCTGCCCATTGTTAAGACTTCTGCTGATGTCATAAAAGCAGATGCCATTTAAGGAAACAGAGAAAATGGAGGAGGAAGCTTGTGCTGCGATTCCAAGTTGGTGGTAAACAATGTGAGGTCAGGTGCCTCTTGCTATAGAAGTCGATTTAGGGAGAAAGAAGTTTCCTTTCACTGCAGAGAACAAGTGCTTTACCTTACTCTAAAAGAAAATCAATGGCATTGACTTGGCCCTTGTGAGAAATCATTCTCCTGATGGCAGGTCAATACAGATGTGATTTAAAAAGTAAAGAAAATCATTGCCAGAGAATCTTCATTTTAACATCTGATTATCGGTAGGAATAAAAGCATTGTACATTAAATTTCATTTAAAACTCATTTAATTTTTGTAACAAAAACTGAACCACCGCAGGAAATGTGCAATAGTTGGGCAGCTCTCAGGTTGTAAGTTAGTTTTTAGAACTGTTTTATATTTTGAGGGTAGATTAAGGAAGTTCATCAAAGATTGATGTTATCAGAATTATTTAAGTGCCTTATCTCTCACCATAAACACCCATCCCTTTACCTAAATATGGTTCGTTTAAAATTATAGTACTTTATCCTTGTATAGTTTTCAAAAATAAATGGTAAGAAGTTAATATAAATCTGTTATGTTTAAAATGGTTATGTTAAAATCATATTTTAATCTAAATTTGTAGACTAATACTGTACTGTTCTATGTATTTTAACTTTCATTCTTGCGATTAAGCTATAAATTTTTAAAATATTTGCAATGTGTGAATGGAAGAGGAGAGGAGAAAGATTAAATAAGAGAGACCATGAGTGTCCCTTTTTAGATAAATTCTGCACTCTATATGGAAATATATTCTTCACATTTATGTCTTTATCAGTTATATGATGCCATTTACAAGAATTTCTCTCAATTGTGAGCAGCCATCCTGTGCATTAAAGGAAGACCCTTTATATTCAGACATTATGGTGTTTAGTATCAAGGAGACTCTGGGAAACTCCTGTCATGACAAGCTGCTTTGACAAGATTGTTTCCAAGTTAGCCTAGATGGAAGTTCTCTTTAATTGCATATTGCAGCCATTGAAAGAGTATGCCTGTGACCAAAATAGTAACATATATTTGGAGGGACTGCTTAAACAGTGCTCTCAAGGCTCCTGTGGGAACAAGGCTGCCCTGTGCTATTGAAAACCTATTTCTCATATCAACAAGTCTAGCCATCTAGCAGGGTTTTGAAATGTCACATGGTGACACAGCATCCTAATGGTATCTCTTGGGAAACATTTTTTTGGCGAGACAGTATCAAGGGTCCTTAGAAATTGAAACAACACAAAGGGAAATAAAAACGAGGACAGGAGGCTAATCCACATCTCTGAGCAGTGGTGCCGTCTCAGATATATTGATTTAATTAGTCCACAACAAGGTCTTTCTTTGATGTTTGCTCTGTCGAGTTCCCACACGGTTAGGCTGCTTCATTGCACAACTTGTTTTATTATTTCCTTTAAGCATCGGTCAAGAGAAATGCATTACGAAACAGAGTTTCTCTTTAAACAAAATCTCGAATGCTATAAGATTTTAATTAAAAAGGCCTGATTTTAAGAATAGCATAAACAAAATCCAACACTTGTTTCTTTCCCTCAAAACCCCTTTTGAGTGTACAGATGTTATTTGTGCCTGTTAATGTGGCAGTATATAGGGGCGCCAGTATATAGGTGGCTCAGTCCCTAAGCGTCTGCCTTTGGCTCAGGTCATGATTCCTGGGATCAAGCCCCACATCAGGCTCCCTGCTCAGCGGGAAGCCTGCTTCTCCTTCTCCCACTCCCCCTGCTTGTGTTCCCTCTCTCGTTCTGTCTCTCTCTGTCAAATAAATAAATAAAATCTTAAAAAAAAAAAAGTGGCGGTATATACCTTTTGTTTTCAAAAGATACCTCCTGAAGATTTCCTTATTTCTTGCATTTATTGTTTCATGCTGTTTTTTGCGTCTACCAGCATCTTATAATAGCTTGATAAAGATGGCACCTCACCCTTTTATAAGATTCATAATAGTATTCTAGACTTAGAAAGTATGGTCACACTGTAACTTCACCCTATCTTTTAAGGAACAAACAAGATTGAACTTTGATTATATCACAGTGTGACTAACAGCTTTACTTTTTTTTTTTTTCTTTCCTGGGGTACTTGGCAATAATTTATTGATTTTTAGTCATTTGTTTTGTTAAATCCATAAGACTGGGTTTTTTTTTTTTTTAATCTTCTTAGAATAATGTGTTGAACTTTGTAAACATTCACAAATGTAAAAAGGAAAGAATTGTGAACTTCAGTGTACCAATCATCTTGATTCATAACGTAGGCTTCATCTGTCCCTTTAATTCCCTCCCCTTCCCCCTGCTGGAGTGCTTTAAAGCAAATCCCAGACTTTATGTCATTTTATCCCATATGGATTTTTCTTTTTTAAATAGCCACAGTGTCATTTCACATTTGACAAAATGAACAGTTATTACTTGATAAAATACAGTCCATATACAGATTTTACCAATTATATTAAAGGTCCCTTCTACTGTCCATTTATTTGAATCAAAATACACATATTTGGTTGTTTGAGATAATTTGCTTTTTATTGATCACATTTTAAAATCCTGATTACCAGTGTCTTGGAAAGGTAGATTCCTTTTTTTTTTTTTTTTTTAAAACCAACAAATACCACTTTTCCTGTTTCATTGAAAGATAAAGCAAAATGTGCTGTAAGAGCAATTATAAATGAAATATGTAACAGAGCACCTGATGAAAAATTCTCTGCTTTGAATAGAAAAATTTCTTCTTCTCAAGCATTGCTACTCCAATACCCGGTATTAGTTTTTAGTAAAGCCTTTTGTTTTTGGTAAGATTTAATGAAGATAGTTTGATTTAACTTGTATAAAATAGATCCTTTAAAAAGTGTCTTTACTACCAGTTTGGAGCTATACAGATCGATTTTATTGTAAGAAAGCGTGAAAATGCCCAAATTTACAGTTGAGCATACCTGCTTTCTGAGCTGTCTTCTTCCTATATCCTTGCCTACACCTGAACAGATTATCACCTGCCTTCGTTTCTATGTCTGTGGCTTTGACTTTTTTTGACCTCTAATTAAAGTAAGAAATACATATATTTTTAAAGATTTTATTTATTCGTTAGAGAGAGCACAAGCAGAGGGGCAGAGGGAGAGGGAGAAGCAGACTCCTCACTGAGCAGGGAGCCCAACACGGGGCTCCATCCTAGGAACCTGAGATCATGACTTTAGCCAAAGGCAGACGCTTAACCGACTGAGCCACCCACGTGCCCCAGAAATACATTTTTTATATCAAGATCTGATAACCCTGCACACACATGAACACATGTCAAGTAAAAGTTTCTTTTTTTTTAAATTTTTTTAAATTTGCATTTATTCTGCAGAATTTACTCCTGGGCCATAAGTTTTTGTTTCTTCAGTTTCTTCTGGGATATCTTTTCCTTCCGTGTAACCTCCTCTTCTGGTTTAGGAACAATCTGCTCTTTTTCAGTAAGGATCATCCCAATGTGGCAGGGAGAGCTCATGTATGGGTTAATCCGACCATGAGCCCTGTACGTTCTACGCCGCATCTTGGGGGCTTTGTTCACCTGGATGTGCTCAATGACCAGAGAATCAGCATCTAAACCCTTAAGTTCAGCATTACTCTCTGCATTTAAGCGTGTGCAGTAAAAATTCAGCATTCTTCTTGTGTCCAGCCCCACTGTTTGGCCTGGGCACACCTACCAACTCCACCATTGTAGCGACGGAATGGCACACACTGCTTCTGTAAAGTGATGTTTTTCAGATACTTGGTGGCTTTTCGGATATGCATACCCTTGATGGCCTGGGCAGTTTCACGTGTGTTCTTAAAGTGAACACGAAGATTTGAACTTCTTGATTTACATGATTTCATAAGGTTTTCTGGGTCAAGCGAATAGCAAACCATTTTCAGAGGTCACCTCAGGCCATTTAGGGGAAGAGCAAGTAAAAGTTTCTTGAAGTAGTACTTACACTGTGTTTGAAGTACTGTGATATTTCTATTTCATCTTTTTATTTTATTTTTATTATTTTTTTATTTTTAGAGAGAGAGAAAGGGAGCCAGCATGGCAGAGGGCGAGGGAGAGAGAAACTCTTAAGCAGGCTCCATGCCCAGCGCAGAGCCTGACACGGGGCTTGATCTCATGACCCTGAGATCATGACCTGAGCCTAAATCAAGAGTTAGATGCTTAACCCACTGAGCCACCCAGGTGCCCCTCTGTTTCATCTTTAAAAAAAAAAATGCAGGCCATAACCAATTGAACTGATTCTATGAATTAGTTTGGAAAACACTTGACATAGTGCTTAGAAGCACAAGTTTTATTTATTTGTTTTTAAAATTTGTTTTAATTTAAATTAAATTAATTAATGTATAATGTATTATTAGTTTCAGAGGTAGAGTTCAGTGATTCATCAGTCTTATATAATACCCAGTGCTCATTATATCACGTGCCCTCCTTAATGTCCATCACCCAGCTACCCCATTCTCCCACCCCCCTCCCCTCCAGCAGCCCTCAGTTGGTTTCCAATGATTGAGAGTCTCTTATGGTTTTTCTCCCTCTCTGATTTTGTCTTGTTTTATTTTTTCCTCTCTTCCTCTATGATCCTCTGTTTTGTTTCTTAAATCCCACATATGAATGAGATCATATGATAATTGTCTTTCTCTGATTGACTTATTTTGCTTAGCCTAATACCCTCTAGCTCCATCCATGTCATTGCAAATGGCAAGATTTCATTTTTTTGTTGTTGTTGTTGGCTGAGTAGTATTCCATTGTATATGTATACCACATCTCTATCCATTCATCTGTTGATGGACATCTGGGCTCATTCCATAGTTTGGCTATTGTGGACATAGAAGCACAAGGTTTAGCATCGAAGGGATCTAGATTAAAATACCAGCTCTATCAGTTACTAGGAGCACATCCATGGAACTCAGTTTAAATGTGCCTCTTATGTAGTTTTTTAGGAAGTAGTGATTAATGCTAAGGAAAATGTAATTGTACTCAAACTTACCTTAATCAGTTAAGATTCTTTAGATCAATACATACGTTATCCCACATCAGAAAGGCACTCATTCCTTACTTAGACCAGCACTCTATTCTGTGGTTTCCCAGAAGAGATGGCCAGAGTTGCAGAAATTCCTTCTCCCTGCCCACTTTTATGCGACTTCTGCCATGTTGCAGTGTATCTTTGTTAGAGGAATGTTGAAGGGCTTTAACAAAGATATTGCTATGGATGTGAAAAAAACTTTTTTTTTGGTAGATTCTTAATACAGAATGGCTGTCCAGTAAAAGACAAAAATTGGTCCCTTTTGGGAAGGTATGGGTTTTCAGCCTATCTTGAATGATGTGTGCCAAAAGTATATTTTGTTTATGTAACATCCACTTAGTAGTTACCGTGTACCCAGGACAGTGCTCTATAACACTCCTTTTTAACTCCTAATAAACAACACATGAGTTAAGCACTACTATTAACTCCCTTTTACAGATGAGGAAACCAAACCAGGTTAATCAACTTGCTCAAGGTCATGTGTGTAGTAAATAACAGGGCTGGGATTGAAACTTAGGAAGTCTGGCCCAGACTCAGGGCTCTTAGCCACCATGCTATTGCTTATAACATAACCTCTTATAAAAAAATTACAAATTAGTAAGTTTTTTTTAACTTAAGGTATAACTGACATATAACATTATATTACTTTTAGGTATATAATGATTCGATATTTGTATGTATTGCAAAATATTCACCATAATAAGTCTAGTTGACATCCATTACCATACATAACAACAAATCTTTTTTCTTGTGATGAGAACTTTTAAGATCTACTCTTAGCAACTTTAAATATATAATACAGTATTATTAACTATAGTTGCCATGCTGTACATTACATCCCCATGACTTCCATGTTCTGTAACTGGAAGTTTATACCTTTTGACCCCCTTCACCCATTTTTACCACCCCACCCCCTGCCTCTGGTAACCACCAATCTGTTCTCTGAATGTAAGAGAACATTTTTGTTTGCTTAATGATTGATGGATGCCAGCCATTTAATCTGTATCCCAAATAAATGAATTTGGATTTTTGAAGTTTAAGAATGCATCAGGAATTTGTCTCAGAACACTTTCCGGTTTTTCCAGTTAAAATGCGTATCTTAGTGGAAAAATAGAATTAGATGAATGGGTTAAATATTTTTGACTTCTGATGAGTGGTTATGAATCAGATTACTTTTACATAAGTTACACTGGATGAGGAGTCAAAATAATGGCTCCAGGTTTTGATTCTCCTGTTTTCTAGAAACATGAATTGGGACAAGTCACCTACTCTCTCTGCCTTTGTTGTCCACCGTCTGTCTATCCTAAATGGTAATGGTTGTTTGGAAGTGCTTTTTAGAAATGTAAGGTGCTTCCTGTTCAAATTATTTACAACAGTTAGATTATCAAGAAGTGGCTAAGTTTGGAAAAATCAGTCTGTTCATTATTCTTTCTTTAGATTTGAAAAAAAAAAAGATCTCTGTGCATGTGAATTATGCATACAAGCTAAATGTGTTCCCAGTATTTAGTAGAGGGCAAAATAAAATGTAAAGTTCAATGTATACTCTAGAGACTATGTAAAAATTATATATTCCTTTTAAGAAAAGCTGAATGACATTTAAATGACATTTTTCTGTTCTACAGAAACCAAAGGCAAATACCAAAGTAATTTGTAAGCGTTGCAAGGTAATGTTGGGAGAGACCATGTCATCAGGTAAGAATTTCATAATAAAAAAGCCAAAATGATTGCCTTCTTGTTAAAAAGGAGTAGAAGGAGATTTTATAGGAAATCTATATGAAAGGTAACTAATATATGTTGTAGAATTGATGATTTTTAAAATAGAAATCAGCTAATATATCATCTAATATGCCAAGAAGTTTGTGTATTTTGACCTTTATAAGTACATAGTATTGCGTTTTAAGCATTAAGAAGTTGGGTCATTTTCAATATTTCATATCCTCTCTGTGGATATAAAGCAATAATATAAAGTTTGTACCTGGGTCTGTCCTAAAGCATAGCGGAGCTTTTTTCTCAATACAACTCCTCAATCAGAATTGTTGGTTGCTAAAGACGATGAAGAAGTTTTCTTGGCTGCCCTCTGCCTCAGGGCTCTATGTTAGGGCTGGGGGTTGAAATGGAAGAAACCACATTCTGAATTTTGTACTCTCTTCCTTGTTCTTTTCCCAGTCCTGTTCATTATGTTTATGTAAAGTCTGTTATACCACTTTGAAATATAATAAAATCCTGATAATTAAATTGCATCATTATTTAAAGATAAGGTTTAAAAAATGGAGAGCTACAATACGCTGCATTAGCTTTGTGGTTGATGAATAATTGTTTTTATTTTTATTTTTATTTTTTTTTAAAGATTTTATTTATTTGACAGAGAGAGCACAAGCAGGGGAGTGGCAGGCAGAGGGAGAGGGAGAAGAAGGCTCCCCGCTGAGCAGGGAACCCGATGTGGGACTCGATCCCAGGACCCTGGGATCAAGACCTGAGCCGAAGGCAGACGCTTAACGACTGAGCCACCCAGGCGTCCCATGAATAATTGTTTTTAATATAATTAACTAGAAGATGTGATTTAAGTGAAGCTAGTGTACCTAAGAGAAGGCAGATGGCAGTCTTTTTGGTTTGTATTTTAAAATTATCAGAATATTGTAAGTAGTTAACTTGCTCAGAGTGAACAGAAAAGGAAGAATGAGTAGGGGTAAAGGATGCCACCTTCAACGTCGTTTTGGAGAATGAAAGCAAGTGCTCTAAGCAACAACTTAGAAAATGTTAAGGCTTCTAGTCAAATTAGGTGAATTGATTTTTTTTTTTTTTTTTATTCTTTTCTCTTCTCCCTGAAGGCCAGTTAAAATGTCAGTTAAGGAATAAAAAAAATGTACATCCACAGAGAAAGAAAAATGGAGAGGAAGCAACAGTGATGTAAACAAGAGGTATAAGCAGACTCTTTTGGAAGCTGTAAAGCTGAGAGGTGTGGGAACACGCTTGACAGTATGGAGGAAGTTGAAGCCTCAGTGTCTGCAGATCATCTGAGTGAGGAGTGAGCCAGTACTCACTGTAGAGCCTCAGAGCTGGTCTGCTCAGAATTTGGAGGCAGCAGGTAACAGGGAAAGCAGTCTGAGACAAGGGACTGGAGGAAGGATGATTAATTCAAAATTTTTATATGGAGCTTAAGACAACTAAGATTCCTCCTCTATTTACAACTTGCTTATACTCTCAAGGCAGGAGATTAGATGACTCTTTTCTTAGAAAATGGAAGAATACCAACCAGAGAAGAGATGTGCAGACACTGATTTGTAAGTGTCTTTCCACAGTAAAATGAGATTCAGCCATCCTACAGTCAACAAGCCTTGTACCTACACCTGAGAGTTTCCTGTCAGCATTTATTACCTTACACTTAAATATGAATGGATTGATGAGAGTCAACAAGTATTTGAGCAAACCTCCAACTATAAAAGAGACTGAAGTAAATAAATAATGAGGTAAACAGAATAAAGGCACTGAGAAGAAAGACATGTATAAAACAGAAGAAAATCTTTAACAAAAATAATGTTCTTAAAGAAATGGAATAATATTGCCCCCATAATTCAAAGAATGTAGACTGAAAGATGTGATTGCCTAAAAAACCTAATCATAGGACTAGAGAATAAATTAGGGAACTATCTTCTCTCATAAATCAGAACCAAAATTCAGAGATTGAAAGTTGGAAAGGAATTATAGGGAAAAAAATCATCATGTAAATTTCCTGAGGATAGAGATATTGTCTACCTCATTTATCACTGTAACCTCAGCACTAAATATAGTGGGTACCCAGTAAATATTTGTTGAATGAATGAATGAATGGAGACTTTTAGGATATTCAACATCTAGCTAATAGAAATTCTAGAAAGAAAGACTAGAGACAACAGAGTTTAGGAAATTATCAAAGAACAGAAATACTAAAAAAACATCGCAAGGCTATTTTCCAGAGCTAGGGCTTCAGTTTCTCAACTGAAAGGGCCCACTACATGTCCAGTAGGACTAATGGGATGGCAGGGAAGCTACTCAAAGCTGTATCATTGAGTAATTTCTGAACACCAAGGAAGAAGTTTCTGGAGGAAAAAAAGCAAGTAGTATACAAAAGATCAGGAATTAGAATGACACTGAACTCTTAATAGCATTGTTGAAATCTAGAAGATGGTGAAGTAATGCCTTCATAATTTAGAAGAGGAAAGATTCTATCACAGTCAAACTATCAATCAAGTATGAAGATAACACATACAGTTTTGGAAGTGCAGTGTCTCAAAACACAGACCTCAAATGTATATTTTCCTTAGGAATGTACCATAGGATATACCTCACCAAACCTAAGGATTTGGGGTGCCTGGGTGGCTCAGTTGTTAAGCATCTGCCTTTGGCTCAGGTCATGATCCCAGGGCCCTGGGATCGAGCCCCACGTCGGGCTCCCTGCTCAGCAGGAAGCCTGCTTCTCCCTCTCCCACTCCCCCTGCTTGTGTTCCCTCTCTCGCTGTGTCTCTCTCTGTTGAATAAAAAAAAAAAAAAAAAACCTAAGGATTTAACCTTTAGAGAGAAGACATGGGATTTGGGAAACAGATTATCTAACACAGATAAGGGAATCCTAGGGTGAGGGACACACAGGCAGGCCCAGGAAATAAGAGCCTAGATTGAAGCAAAGGAGAGAAGATTGCAATAAACATTTTTTCAGTTACAAGATGAACTGATACATTCTTCAGTTTGTTTGACCAGACATAACAATCTTGAGATAAGCCATTTTATCATATGGAAGGAATTAGCTAAAGGTGCTTGGAAAACTAAACACATGAAAAAGGAAGCAGTTATGCACTGCAGGAAAACAGAAGGCTGAACAAGAAAGGGAACATTTCCATGGTATCGTTATAGTCATTATAAGGAACAAGAAGCAAAGGAGAAACTAGAAATTTAAGAGGGAGATTTTGGAAGCAAGAGGCAGGGGGATGGGCTGAGATGATAACTTCTTCACATAGCTCTGGCTGACTGTTAAATGCATACAATAGAGGCCAGAGAGTCCAATAAGAATTAAAAGCTTGGGAGACCTGCACATTTCCCATGCGTTTGATTTCATTTCTCAATCTATACACAATTGGATAGCAGAAGGTAGGAGCCTTAATGGCTTGAGGTATTTGAGCAAAACCTCTCCCCAGATTTGCTGACAGCTAAACTCTGCAGGTATAGTGAATAGTTTCTAGGGAGCCAGGCTAAGCAAAATAAAACTGAGCAGAAACATTAGCAGCTACACGCTGTGGGAAGACATATTTCATAGTTTGAGTCCAGGCTAGTTAATTGACTATTATAAACCAACAACCCTTAAAAGAACAAAACAAAATCCAGAATAGCAACATTATATTACATACAGTGTCCTACTTCCATTTAGAAATTATTAGACTTGCAAAGAAACAGAAAAGAGTGATTGATACCCAAAAGCAGGACTCAGCAAACAGGTACTGAGTAAGCACGAACATTAGATTTAGTAGACAAAGATGTTAAAGTGGCTATTATAAATATGACTAAGAATTAAAAGGGGGAAAAAAAACTCTTCAGTGAACTAATGGCAAATCTCAACAAATTGGAAACTTGAGAGAGAGAACTGTTGGTAATTACAGAGCTGAAAAGTACAGTATCTAAAAAATTCACTAGATCAGCTAAACTACATATTTGTGATGATTGAAGAAAAAATAATCATTGAACTTGAAGGTATATTAATAGAAATTAACCAGTGCAAAGAACAGAGAGAAAAAGTCTGAATCAAAATGGACAGGACCTCGGAGATTTGTGGGACAATATCAGATGTTTCAGTTAATGTGTAAATGGAATCTCAGAGGTAAGAAGAAAAAAATAACTCCGGAAAAAGTATCTGTAGAAAACAATGGCTGAAATCTTGGCAAATTTGCTGAAAAATATTAACTCTTAGATTCAAGAATTGCAGTGAAAGGTAGGATAAACACACAGAGCACTTCACCAGGCACATTGTAGTTAAACTGATAAAAGCCAAAGATGAAGAGAGAATCTTGAAAGTACAAGAGAAAAATGGAACATCACATACAGGGACTTCCTGATACAATTAAGGCTGACTTTTTGCAGAAATAGTGAAGACACTAAAATGAGATATTCAAAATTCTGGGGGGAGGGGTGGGGAAGAAAGAAGAAAAAAACCTGTCAACTAACAATTCTATATCCGGCAAAACTGTCCTTCAAAAATGAAGGCAAAATAAGAGCATTTTCATATAATAGATGGAAGTTATGCATTATTAGCAGATCTTCTCTACAAAAAATGCTAAAGAAAGCTCCTCAGGCTGAAGTGAAAGATACCAAATGGTGATTGGAATCCACAGGAAGGAATGAAGATCAAGATAAATGGAAAATATATGGGTAAATTACCACAAGAGCAAACTCAAAGGTTAGCACAAAATTGAAGCCACCTTTTCCCTGCAATATGCCACTTCTCTAAAATTATTTTGATTGCTTTGAGGAGTAAGGACATAAAGACTACACAAAAAAGGAACCTAGTGGACGACTCTGCACAAAAATTTGGGACACTAAAGAGCCATACCCTTACTGTGAATGTGGAATTACGGATAGGTATCAATCCTTTGGCACTTTAAGGAATTTCAAGTCTTAAACTTGGTTAGTCTGTCTTGGACTAGCTATAACACCCATATGCCTGGCAAAATCAGATGTAAATCACCTCTGGAGTAAAATACCTTCATTGTAAAACTCACATGCCCACAAATAATTTGTCAAGTACAGTGTTCCCCATACAACCAAAGACAAATAAGCACACAAACTAGACTTCCTTCAACAAGAACTAACAAAAACAGAAACAACAGAAACAGACTTCTCTTACTAGAATTATCAGATGTAAACTAGAACAATCGTGCTTTTGTCTATTGAACAATATGAGAGACAGGTTTGAAGGTATCAAAAGGCAAAGGAAACAAGAGCAAGCATATTTGGAAAAGATCAACAATAGAATTTCTAAAAAATATGTAACGGAAATTTAGAATTTAATGGATGATTTAATGGCAGATTAGGTACAACTTGGAGAAAGAATTAATGAATAGAAGATAGATGAGAAGAAATATCTGTAATCTAGCACAGAGAGACAAGAAGGCAAAAAACATAGGAGAGAGACATAAAACATACACCGAGAAGATCTAACATATGCTTTTTGTTTTTTTAGTTTTTATTTGAATTCCACTTAACATAATACTGTAATACTAGTTTCAAGTGTACAGTTTAGTGATTCAGCACTTACATCACAACACCTGGTGCTCATTCAATAAGTGTACTCCATAATCCCCATCACCTATTTAACCCATCCCCCCACCCACCTCCCCCTGATAACCATCAGTTTGTTCTCTGTAGTTAAGAGTCTATTTCTTGTTTTTCCTCTCTTTTTTCCTTCTATGATTTTTTTTTTTAAGAGAGAGAGAGAGTGGGGTGGGGGTGGGGAAGGGTAGAGGGAGAGGAAGAGAATCTTAAGCAGGCTCCACACCCAGCACCGAGTCAGATTCAGGGCTTGATCTCACAACCCTGAGATCATGACCTGAGCCAAAATCAAGAGTCTGATGCTTAACTGACTGAGCCACCCAGGCGCCCCCATTTGTTTTGTTACTTAAATTTACATATGAGTGAAATCATACGGTATTTGTTTTTGTCTGACTTACTTAGCTCCATCCACATTGTTGTGAATGGCAAGATTTCATTCTTTTTATGGCTGAGTAATAGTCCAGTGTGTGTGTGTATGTGTGTTGTGTGTATGTATATATACACACCACCATTCATCAGTCAATGGACATTTGGGCTCTTTCCATAATTTGGCTACTGTTGATAATGCTGCTATAAACATCAGTGTGCACGTATCACTTTGAATTAGTATTTTTTTTTATTCTTTGGGTAAATACCTAGTAGTGCAATTGCTGAATCATAGGGTAGTTCTATTTTTAACTTTTTGAAGAACCTCCATACTCTAACATATGTTTAGTCAGACTTCTAGAAGGAGAAGAAATATAAGGGAGCATGGCAATATTTGAAGAGACAATTGCTAAGAATTTTACAAAAGTGATGGAAAACAGTAAGCAACAGATTGAGGAGGTTCAATGAATTCTAATTAAATGAGACCCAAGTAAGATAAATAAGTTTATAGCGAAACATACAGAATGATACTGCAAAACAAACAAAAACCAGAAAATCCTAAAAACAATTGAAGAAAAATGACAGATCACTTTCAAAGGAGCAATAATAATGGAAGTTTGAAGACAATGGATTGATAGTGTCAATGAGCACAAAGGTTAAAAACTTAACCTAGGATTTTATATGGTGAAAATGTTCTATATGAAAGAATCAAGACAAAGATATTTTCTGACAAAAACTAGAATAATTCATTTCTAGTGGTTTGGTTTTTTATTAAAAGAAATTATACTTGTGGAAGAATAGAATTCTACCTGTAGAGAATAGAAGAAAATGATCCCAGATAGAGGGTCTAAGCTTAAGAAGGATTGGTAAAGACAGTGGTAAATACGTGGAAGAATATTAAGTGGATGCTAACTGCATAAAGCAGTAGTAATACCTTGTAGGATTAAAATAGTAGAATCAAATTATAGTTTAACAGCAGCTGGGATAAAAAGGATCACTTCATAATGTTAAAAGGTTCAATTCTGCATCTAGTAACATGATTTCAAAATAGTAAAATGAAAAATTGAACTTAAAGGAGAAATAGATAACTTCATCATCATGGCTCTAGATATGTAATACTCTGTTAAACTATTGATTTTTTCTGCCTTTTTTTGTGTGTTGAGCAATTGAAAACATTCTCAGAAAATGTACTGAGAAAAACTTTCCATCTTAATTCAGAATTGTTCAGCACACCATTCTTAATTATTGCATGGAATTCTCTTGCCTAAATGTATAATTGTTTAGCCCAACCATTCTCAATTTTTAGACAATTTGTTTTCAGTTTAATTAATATGAGCATATTTATAGATAAATTTTTATAGACATGAATATTTCGTTGAGATAAATTCTTAGGTGTTTAATGATTGGCATCAGAATATTTTTAAGGTCTTCATCAAGTGGCTTTCCAGAAATGTGTCATTTGCAGTTCTGATAGCAATATGTGAACAAGTATACCCATTTCTCCATATCTTCTTCATTGCTGCATTTTGTCATTCACAAATATTTATTTGATGCTAAAGAATATCTCCTTTTAATTTGTATTTCCTTCATTACTAGTGAAAAGAAACGTTTTTCATGGATTTCTTAAAAAATTCAGAATGGTTATGTTTATATTCATTTCTGTAAGATACTTAGTTTACTGTTTAAATGTTTCTGTAAACTAAGTAATTAGATAACCAGATTTGTTGGGAATTGTACATTAATAGACTCGGTGAGATTCTGGGAAATACTAATAAGAGGTTTACAGCGTCTTTGCATGGGCTTTGGGACACCGTGATTCAAAAGCCTTTTCCAGTGACTCCTAGGTTTAAGACTATAGAAATGGGGAAATCAAATGACTAGTTTCTACATAAGTGGGCTGTGGCTGTAATGTGGCTGATTTTTCTAACCTTTCATGCGTGTGAACAGAGTGTTGTGCCAATATTCACCTGGGGCATGTCTTCTAAAACACCAGGCCCTCCCAAGTCTCAGGATGCTCTCCTTGTAGTCATCAATGTATTGGTGTCTTACACTAAGTCATTTTGGGAAAATTTTTACTGAATGTGAATTTTACCATATGTGTATGAAATATTTAGTTGGGATGTTATAATTAGGACCAACATGCCCACCATAAAAATGTTAGTGCAACAAGGAGATTTTAAGTTTTCTTATTTTTGTTTCTAGAAACCACCAAGTTTTATATAACAGAGATAATTATTCAGCCGTCTGAAAGAAATTTTTCCATCATACCAAGGTACAAACAGCAAATTAAATTTATTCTGTAATTTCAAATGTGGAGAATGATAGGTACAATTGATTATTTGGGAATTCATTTTTATTTATACCTTTCTTTATTTGGAAAAGAAAAATAAAAACCTTCGAAAAAGGCTTTTAGACAGTTGAACCAAACCACACATATAAAAGACTCGAGGATTCATTTATGGTTTGTTTATTACATAGTGGCATAAATAAATGTGCTCATGATATAAATCTTCTAAATCTGAAAGTTTTTTGTGCTTCTATTTGTCATATAATCAAGGTCTTATAACTTAATCATCAATAGGTTTTTGAATAATTATTTCTGGAATTAATTTGACATTTAAAATTTGAAACATGAGTCAGTTTTCAAATGACTCCTGTGTTTAAAAAAAAAAAAGTTACTTAGCCACTACATCCGTTAGCGTTTTCTCTTTGAATCTTTTTAGTTTGCAAACAGAAGTTAACTATAGTATGTCTTTCAGTTTATTTATGGATATCTAAAAAGTATGGCAATCTGAATATAACCTTAAAATTTGTCCTTCTGTAAATACTTTGATTCTGTGCCTCAGCTCTGACTCTTTGAGGGGATGCAAGTGGAAGACATTGTATTTAATACTGTCTAATGTTTGGGAGGAAATATCTCACCTTCTTTTTTAACTTACTGTTTAATGTGCTACAGCACAAATGGAATATTGACTTGACTAATACAGTATTTTTTTATTCAGTCAAGAGGAATAGTTAGGTTTGGGGTGGGAAGTGTGTTAAGGATTGGAGAATAGGTTATAAGAAGACTGGAGCAAACACAAATACATTAAAATATATTAAAATCCACATTAGCACAGTCTGTGAAGGAATGGGTAGCATATAGAAAAGTCTGGCTGCACACACCTCTGCCTTTTAGGTACCCTGTGGGTATTTTTGGCTCCTCTTGCCAGTTAGAGTTATTATGAAAGGCACATTGTGAAAATTGATTTCTGTTCAAACAGGTCTCAGTTTGTACAGAATGTTATCGCCCAGTGCCTGGTGGAACTCTCCTCTGCTAGAAGCACTTTTAGATTCACTATTCAAGGTCATGATGGCAAAGTGTACATCTTGGTAAGAAGTGACTTCTCCCAGCTTTCTGTAGCTTGGTAATCCAGGGTCTCAGAAATTCTTTAGTCTTGCCATTCTCTTTTCTTTAATTCTCAGGTCTAGAAAATAAATGATCAAAAATTGAATTCATAATATCAGTTTAATTCCCACATCAAACTCTCTTAATTTAATAATAAAAGATCAAGTGCCTCTGTGCTAGGTACTAGGGATATAGAGAAAAATAAAACCTGATTCCTGCTCACACCACAAAATAAAAATTTTCACTCCAAGTTGTTAATAGGCTTTTCTTGGTCACTGTAACTTAATTCTGTTTCTTTCACTTTTTTCCCCTATTGATTTTTCCCTATTTTTCCCTTTTGATACTCTTCTGTTTAAAATATGTCCTGTTGCTCCTGTTTTTGTGTATGTGTGTATGTGGTGAGAATGCTTAACGTGAGACCTACCCTCTTCATAGACTTTTTTTTTTTTTTAGATTTTTAAGTGCACGATAACAATATTGTTAATTATAGGCACAGTATTACTTGGAGATCTCTAGAACTTACTCATCTTGCCTAACTAAAACTCTATGCTCTTTAGTGAGCAACTCCCCATTTCTCCCTCCTCTAGCCCCTGGCAGCTACCATTCTACTTCCTGCTTCTATGAATTAGACTATTTTATATTCCTTATGGAAGTGGCATCAGGCAGTACTGTCCTTCCGTGTCTGGCTTATTTCACTTGGCATACTGTCCTCAAAGTTCATCTGCATTGTTGCATATTACAAGGTTTCCTTCTTTTTTAAAAAAATAATATTCCATATATGTATGCACCACATCTGCTTTATGCATTCATCTCTTGATGGACATTTAGATTGTTTCTGCATCTTAGCTATCGTAAATAGTGCTATAGTGAACATGGGGGCACAGATACCTCTTCGAGATCCTGATTTTAACACACTGATGTCTGAGAAGTAGTGGCAAGTTTTGGATAAGAGGCCCTGCCGTTAGCAGAATCGTCCCCCTGCATCTAAAACATGGTAGCTAGAAGGAGGGAGAGAGTTATGGTTGTTGTTAAGTGCGGCTTTGTAGCTGGCCATCCATTATGGGGACCCCATGCTTCTCTGATTCCAGATCATTTCTACCAAAGCTAACATACTTGTTGACTGAAGTTAATACTGAGTGTGCCTCATAGTCATAGTCTGAAATTAGTTTTAATTTTCTTTTACTGTAAGGTTTTTCAAGTTAAAACTCAGGAATAGGAAACACCTGAAAACCTAAAACTTACTGCTAATATATATTTAAGTTCGGGGGTACCTGGGTGGCTCAGTCAGTTAAGCATCTACCTTCGGCTCAGGCCGTGATCCCAGGGTCCTGGGATCAAGCCCTGCATTGGGCCTGTTTCTCCCTCTTCCCCGCACCCTGCATGTGCTCTCCCTCGTGCTCTCTCTGTCAAATAAATAAATAAAATCTTTAAAAAAATAAATTCAAAAAAACTTTGTTGTAAAAGTAATACATTCTTGAAACATTCAGACAACAGGAAGAATGTTAAAGAAGTAGTATTCCCCCATCTTGTCTTCACTCCTTGTCTTGCTATATCACAGTATTTGAAGGTAAACATTACTAACAGTGTGGTATGTGCACTTCAGCATCTTCTCCCTCTCTATATACAACTCTGTGTTCATACGCTCACATTCTGCTTTTCTGTTCGTGAAACATACTCAAGTCACATGACGAGCATTTTTCTTCATCATGTTTACTTCACTCAACAGTGTATCATAAGGATTGTTTCCTGTGAGTTTAAATATAGACCAGGGTCTTGAGTGACTAGAATTCCAGTGTGGCTGTTAAAGACAGTGCTGCGATGAAAATAATCTTTGCGTGTGTATTTTAGTACTTCTTTGGAAATAGACCTTTCTAATCTAAGACACTATTAGAAGTTGTGTTTTTTAAACTGATAATTATCACCCGCCAGAAAACTTGTACTCACTTATCCCATATAGTGAGACATTCTTGGTGCCCTACCCAGATCCTCCTTACTCAGGCTGGTGCACCCAGTTCCCAGCTGCTGAGACGTGTGGGCTGCTAATGGCACACAGCTGCCTCATCTCCAGAGACACGCCCTTACATGACAGGTGCCACCTTGTTCGGAAAGTTACCTCTTCCCCACCCTTGTCCTGGTCAGTCTACTGCCAGTGATTTGACCCTGGGGGACAGAAAGCAGGGGCCTCCTGTCTCGAGGTGGGACAGACTCTGTAGGTGCCATTCTTGTGTCAGAGCTCCCCATGGGATGAGGCTGAAGCCAGACTCCAGCTGAGCCCCTCAGTGGATAGCGTGCATCCAAATCCCGAAACCCTCTTCCACCAGCAGTCCAGCCCCCTCTACTGAGCTGGATGCTATTATCTTTAAAAAAAAAATTTTTTTTAAGATTTTATTTATTTGTCAGAGAGAGAGAGAGAGTGCACAAACGGGGAGCGGCAGGCAGAGGGAGAAGCAGGTTCCCCACTGAGCAGGGAGCCCGATGCAGAACTCAGTCCCAGGACCCTGGGATCATGACCTGAGCTGAAGGCAGATGCTTAACAGACTGAGCCACCCAGGTGTCCCTGTTACCATCGTTTTGTACTTGCCAATCTGATACGTGAAAAAGGGTGGCACATGATTTTTACATTTCCTTATTATATTAACATTTTTACATGTTTATCACTTATTTCTTCTGTTAATTCTGTTCATATTCTTTTTTTTTTTTTTTAAGATTTTATTTATTTATTTGACAGAGAGAGAGAGAGCGAGAGCAGGAACACAAGCAGGGGGAGTGGGAGAGGGAGAAGCAGGCTTCCTGCCGAGCAGGGAACCCAATGTGGGACTTGATCCCAGGACCCTGGGATCATGACCTGAGCTGAAGGCAGACGCTTAACGACTGAGCCACCCAGGCGCCCAATTCTGTTCATATTCTTTGCCTTTATTTCTTTTGGGCTGTTTTTGCCCCCTTATTGATTCCTGGGAGCTCTATATATTACAGATAATAACTTTGTTGTCTACATATTAACTATTTTTTCCTAGTTGGTTGTCTTTTTTTTTTTTTTAACTTTATGACCTCAGCGGCTCTACCAGATGTTACACTTTGAAAGACTTATCATACTTAAAAATTATATACAGGTTTCTTCTGTCTTTTTTTTTTTTTTTGGTATTTTTATAGTTTTGTTTGTGTGTTTTTTAGTGGTGGTATGAGATACGGATAGGGTGATGATAATATCCTTATACTTGGACTTTTCTCTCCGTATCTTTAGCTGTGGCTTTTAAACTCAGACAGCTTGGTGATTGAATCTTTGGGAAGTTCCAAGAGTATCAAAAAATTCCCCTTGTTGGAAGATACCCTGAAGGCAGATTCCAGTTCTGCCTGGAATGCTGTCAAGGTCCTCTACCAGCCATGCATCAAAAACAGGAATGAAAAGTAAGTTGTGCTTTTGTTTTCTCATTCCACAGTATGTTTTAGTTTCTTTTGCCATTTGGTGTTGAGAAATTAATGAATTAAATGGTACCATACCACTTCCCTGTTTGAAGCTTCTAGGAGTCATACTGCTAAATATTATGCTTTAAAGTAGATTGAATTATTACAGATGATTCATGCTAATGTGCAGAAAGCTTGCTTTTACTGAAAATAATTGGTCTTTTTCTTATAATCTCAGCTGTCTGTGCATATGGCTGCAGTACTAAATCAGGCATCAACAGCTATGAATATTTACTGATAAGCACTTCCCAGGCATTCAGGATGCAAAGGTGAACAAAACACAGCCCTTTTTTCCCAGGCTTGTCATTGTAACAGGGGGAAGGCAGACCATCAGCAAAAGAGTCATAAAATCATGGACTGATGTGGCTCCTACTAAGAGCCAGGCACTCATCGGAGGCCTTCTGGCTCATTTAAGCCTAACATCAACCCTGTAGGGTAGTACTATTATCACCCTCATTTTAGAGACAGGGACACTAAGGCACAGGTTTAGAAATTACTTTAGTGAAATATAAAGCAAGGCAAAGTAGTTGGGGAGTAGTAGGACAGGTGTAGGAGGTCGTCATTTTATATTAAAAAGTCAAGGAAGTTTTCTCAGATAAGATGATATTTAACTGGAAAACTTGAAGGAAGAAAAGGAGTGAGCCTTATCTGAGAGAACAGTGTTTCTGGCAGAGGGAACGGTTGGAAGTTTAGACTTGTCTTGTACTCTCCAATGAGTTTGATCAAATTTGTAATAAGAACAGAAAGATCCCAGTCTTTTTCGGGGAAGTAAATAAGAAATTTTGAAAAATCGCTCTTTTCTTTTTTGGATCATACAAGCAGTATAAATCATAAAATATTCAAACAGTTGAGACATACATAAAGTAAAATATGAAAATTCTCCGCCATGTCCCTCTCTGGAAGTAAAAGTGTGTTGTCTATTCTTCAACTCCTTTTTCTATTTATTTTTCATCTTAACATGATTTGAATGATACAGGTGTATTTTTTTACACTTAAAAAAAAAAAGGCAACACTGCAGAGTCTTGGAGATTCTTTCCACATCAGTGCTTGGCATTTTATGAAATGGATGTACTATAAATAATTTAACTGTTTTTCTGTTGATAGATACTTGGGTTATTACTGTTTTCCTTCTGTAATTAGCATTGTGCTGTGTGTTGTTACACAAATTTGGTTTGTAATTATGTGTACTTTTCTTATGAGGGATTTCTAGAAGTAGAATTGCTGTGGCAAAGGTATGACATTTAAAATTTTGATAGATAATATCAAATTACTTCGTAAAAAAGCATTGCCAGTTTATATATACTCCTACCTGAAGTTTCTATAAATTCCACTTCCCTGAAGCCTCACCCAAACTCCCATTTAGATTTTTGCCCATTTAATGCCAGTCTAAATGAAACAGCTCAGATGACTACCCTTGTGTTGTTTTGAGGTATGATCAGAGAATATGGCTTATGCTTTGATGCTTTGGGGACTTTGGTGTGTGTGTGGCCTAATACATAGTCAAGTTTTAAGCTGTTGGTTGCTTGTATCCTCTGTTTACTTGTGTGTGTTTGTGTGTGTGTGTACTTAGACTTATAAAGTGAAGCTTATTAAAATCTTTTCACATTTTTTATTCCTTTGAAATGTGCATTTTTGAGAAGGGTGTGTTAAATATAGAAAAGTTTTTTTGTTCTGATTTTTATATCGGCTTTTGCATTATATATTTTGAAGCTGTGTTTTTAGGTACATAAATGTTTGTGCCATGACACTTTGCCTAATTACATATTTTATCCATGAGAGATTTTGCTCTTCTTCCATTTGATGCTATTTCCCTTTAATTCCAATCTGCCTGATGTTAATATTGTTATATTTACTTTCCTTTTTTTTTTTTTTTAATTGCTAATTTGTTATACAGTAGTCCCCTCTTACATGCAGTTTCATGTTCTGTGGTTTCAGTCACCTGTGGTCACTTGCATCCACAAGCAGATGATCCTCTTCCTGACGTATGGTCAGAAGGTCAGTCATAGCCTAATGCAAGTTCACGGTGTCTCCATCACTTGCCTCACTTCATCTCAACACATAGGCATTTTGTCATTTCACATCATCACCATCATAAAAAGGGTGAGTTCAGTACAAGAAGATATTTTGAGAGAGAGAAAGAGACCACATTTACATAGCTTTTATTACAGTATATCATTGTAATTTTTCTATTTTATTATTAGTTAATCTCTTACCATGCCTGATTTATAAATTAAACTTTATCATAGGTATGTATGGATAGGGAAAAGCATAATATATATAGGGCTGGGTACTATCTAGGGTTTCAGGCATCCATTGGGGGGTCTTGAAATGTAACCCCCATGGAGAAAGGGAATGTTTCTCCATTTCTTTCTTTACAGCTGTCCTGTGTTATTTTATCTTAGATATATGTCTTGCTAACATGTACCTTATAAACTCTGTAGGTGGATATTTTAAAACTTCATTATGACTGGGGTACCTGGCTGGCTCAGTTGGTAGATCATGCAACTCTTGATCTTAGGGTCGTGAGTTCAAGCCCTACATTGTGTGCAGCCTACTTAAAATAAATTAAAAGAAAAAAAACCAGGTGAATTCAGAGAAAGACAATTATTATATGATCTCACTGATATGTGGAATTTAAGAAACAAGGCAGAGGATCATAGGGGAAGAGAGGAAAAAATGAAACAAGATGAAACCAGAGAGGAAGACAAACCATAAGAGACTCTTAATCTTAGGAAACAAACTGAGGGTTGCTGGAGAGGAGGGGGTAGGGGGATAGGGTAACTGGGTGATGGATATTAAGGAGGGCATGTGATGTAATGAGCACTGGATATTATATAAGACTGATGAATCACAGGCCTGCACCCCTAAAACCAATAATACCTTATATGTTAATTAATTGAATTTAAATTAAAAAAAAAACACCTTATGAGTGGCAAAAAAAAAAAAAAGAAGAAGAATTAGCCAAAGATATAGGTACTTATTGGGGTGTTGGAATAAAGCAAATATAAATGGTCCATTAAAAAACAAATAAACAAAAAACAGGTGAATTAGAAGAAAACAAACTCCAATATGACAGTCTATTTTAAAAGTGAATTTAATCCACACTAACTGTGATTATTAATATAGTTGAACTTAGTTTACTGTCTTTTACATTGGTTGTCTTCTCTATCATTTCTTGATGATTTGGGAGTAAAAAAAATATCTATTTCAAGATGATTTTAGTGGTTAACCTGAAACTTGTAATATATGTACTTAAACTTCTTTTTTTTATTATCAGTTTCTAGATTTGACTAGTACCTATACTCTTCACCAGAACAAGAAAAGACTCTTAGTAACGTTTCGCATTTCTTCTTTCTTTCCCTGTCTCATGCACTTTCCTCTATGTTGAGATCATTTATGATTCTCCTGATAGTGGTTCTTTCTTAAAGAAGCCCTACCCCATTTGCTTACCTCTTACACTCATGTATCACAGCCATAAATGTCTTTATATTTTTATTGTATGTCTACTTCCATGAAAAAATTTGATGTTTTTAAAATATTTATAAATAGTATTATAGTATGTATTTTTTTGCTGTTTGTTTTTCACTTCATAGTCTTTGTTTCATTGTTTGCTTTGATGAAATATGCCCTTTCATAGTTCTTTTAAAGTTGAACTGTAGTCAGTCCTTGAATACCTGATAATCTCTTATATGATATCTCTCTGAAAACCTATAGGATTTTTCTTTATCTTTGTTTTTCTAAGATTTCATACAGATATATCTAAGTGTTAGTGTTTATTCAGAATTTTCTCATGTCACATCTGTTCTTATCTTACAAATGAAGTATTCTCTCAATATCTGAGAATAATAGTGGTACTTCAAGTCTTCTGTTTTCTCTATTAACTCTTTTCTTTGGGTGTTAACTCTCTTCTCTTTGAGAAGATTCTTTGTGATTGATACTTTGTTTCATGGTGTTGCTTTCCCCAAACGTTTAATGCTTCCACTAGAATTCTTGTGCTTGGATGTATACTCCAGTGAATCAGGACCTTGTCTATCTTGCTCATTACTACATCTAGATGAGGTTTTTTTTTTTTTTAAGATTTTTTTTTTTTTTTAAATGTATGTATTTGAGAGAAAGAGAACACAAACAGGGGAAGTGGCAGAGGGAGAAGCAGGCTCCCCTTTGAGCAGGGAGCCCGATGCAGGCTCAACCCCAGGACCCTGGGATCATGACCTGAGCTGAAGGCAGACGTTCAACCGACTGAGCCACCCAAGCGCCTCTAGATGAGTTCTTGGAGAAGTGTTTAATACATACAATTTATGGTCACATTTGACAAAACATTTGTTAAATGAATGGTTCATAGTTTTCTGCTCATCTTTATATTTGATCGTTACTGTTCATCTATTGGTGACTGTAGGTTCTTGTTCCCATAGTCTGCCTTTATGGATTTGTGAAAGAGAACTCAAAGGATATACCAGTTTGGATGGGCCAGTTTGTCTTTTGACAGCTTTTGGGTGCTAAGGAAAGGGAATTGGTAGATTCAGTTACAGTGGTGAACTTATATTCATTATTGTGAAGGATCTTTACACTGCCTCTCTTGAGGAGAGTGACAAGGATTTAGTGTACTGTCTCATTTCACTCATTCCTAACAAATCCCTGTGACGCTGGAAATAGAATGACTATAGTCAGTTGTGTTCTGCTGTATTTGATTAGTAGACTTTTTTTTTTTTAATTTTGTATGTCATGTCTTGGGGACATAATAAATGAGTTTGATGAGTTCAGTTTACCTGTTGTATATCATCTTTTGTTTTGCTTTTTCTCCTACTACTGGTTGACTCTGTATCCCCCAAAGGTAGTAACGAACTTCATAAATTGGGTAAGCATCCTGCGAGTTATTTGCTTTTGTCTTTAAGGACATTGTCTTTTAAGAGACATTAGTTTCTTTCTTTGGGGGCATTACTGAG